AATTTTTCACCTTTGATGTTCAATTCAGGCAAGGATATGCATTATTATTGCTAGGTCTATTTGGTTTAAAGCAGGGATTTGGATTGCTAAGCCTAATTTATTAACATTTCTGTTCTGTAAATTTGTATAGTATCTAGTGTATCAATATTGACTTAAATTGTGTAGAAGGATTCTTGGTTATGACCAGCATTTGATAGTTTTTGTTCTCTTTGAACTGGCAGGTAGCTGAAAGCATTTAGAAATGACAGATACAACATGTTCAGCCATTGAATATTAAATTAAATAAGCCAAAAAATGGAACCAAAAATTAAGTACTTTCACAGTAAAATATATGTCAAAATAATTTAAACCCTATGCACAGTTTCTTTTGCATTTGAGTATAATTATGTTAAAGACAAATTATTTTTAATAGCTGTTAAGGTGAACAATTAGTTATCTGATTAATAATTGACCTGCAACTATATTAAATGTTGGCAGCTGTTATTGTAGCATGTTTTAATATAAGACACTTGTCTGTTCATGGGTCTTCTCTAAAAGTACTGGTCAGGTTAAACCGCCTCTGTGGTCGAGGGGTTAGAGTTGACTTACCTCTCTGGCGTGGGTTCAATCCCCAGGAGATGCTTTAGTAGTTTAGCACGGAGGAAGGAAGTCTAGTACTGGTGTAACTCTCCAGGAACGATGGTTAGGAAACTACCCGCCTATATGACTGAAATACTTTTGGGAAAAGGCGTAAAATGAAACAAACAAACAAACAAAGTCAGGTTTACTTCAAATTTGTTGTTTTGAAATTCATGTGACTCTCAAAGACGAAAATTAATATCTTATTTGACACAAATTACTCTCTACTACTCCCAGGCCACATTTAAAAAAGTCTTTGTTTGCTGTCTCCCGACCCTAATTTTTAGAGTTGGGTAGGTAGGTAGGGATTTTTTTTTTTTTTTTTTTTTTTTGGAATACATACATGTTTTGGTTTGATTCTGTTTGTTGAAAAAACGGTTTAATAAAAAATGCGAATAAAATTTTTTAAAAATTGATATATCTTAATTTTCAGTTTTGTATATCTTTCAATTAGTCAATACAAGAAGTATAGTTCTTTTTAATAAAAATACATGTAACAAAGGCAAAATTTTCAAACATTCACCCAACATGTGAAGAGGATGACTAAAACACACAAATATACTCAAATATATTATGCAAAATAACTACTGAACAACAAAAGGCATCATTATACATCAACAGTTTAAAGTCTGTTTACATTTTTTTCTCACTGAAATGAATAGTTAGTGAACAACCAGAAAAAACAATTTCAAACACTAAGCAACTTCAGACAAGTAAACAGTTAAGCCACAGTAATACAACAAAATTTAGGTTCACAGTATTCATTTTTTATAGGACATCTATGGGGAATGTCTTTCTTGTGGACATTGATGCATTGCTCATAAACTGGAAGTACAATCCTAAAGGCTAAACTTTGTTAACAGTTCTGGATTTCTCTGTGCTTCTGGCTCATCACAATGGGCACAAATATCTGGGCGTCCAATGTTGGAGGCACAGTAAGGGAACTCCACGTGAGATTGGCATGACATCTGCAGTCATACGAACACTCTCCCTTGCAGAGCATCTCCTATGAAAACAGACAGAAGGCTAGACTTTATGCAATACAGATTTTGCCAAAAATGCAATTATTTTAACTTTTTTAATTATACAAACATGGGAAATATGTAAGAAAGAATAAAATCAGGTTTCTACTTTCAGTTGATTATGTAAAAACATTTTGACATCACTATTTTAAGAAAATAAGCACAACAATGTGCATACTAATACTAACCATCAACTGTAATGACTGAATCACAGTTGTAATCAAATTTCTCAAGGTTGTGTTTTAGAGATCATGTTTCCCTGTCAATTTATTCTTGGAGTAAATACACCATATAAGTGCATTTGCTGGTTGAAGAAAATGATTATTTAATAAATACTGGTACTTATAAATGAGTGAGTACATACAAGAAACTTTATTTATTTACAAAAACTTTATTTTAAGTCGATTACATGAGCACTCAGTAAGTTTTTAACACAAACCAGTATTTAAGCATACCGTAAGAACGTCCGATTTTTTTCAGGTAAAAATCCTCGACGTCATTTAACAGATCGACCCATGCCCAGACAAATTCATTCTCGTGGAGGTTATTTTTCAACAAAGTTGAATTAACGTAATAATAAATGTTGACTAGATGATAAAATACTCGTCTTCTTGAAGATCTTCTAACTTTCGTTTTGCAAAATTGTAACGGATGTGTACACAATCGACTTTTACCCGGCGGTACTTAATAGTCGATACACGTGACGAATAATACGCGGGAACCAGAATACTACACGCCGTTATTGAACGGATATCGGTAAAAATATGCGGCACCAAAAAAAAAAAAAAAAAAAAAAAAAAAAATGGTCGGCGAGAGCAAATAAAATTTTTCGGAGCGCAGCGTTTTTTTAGGGTCGGTCGGGAGACAGCAAACAAAGCTATTTTTAATTTAGGCCTCAGGAACTAAAAATATCAAAACTTTTTAACATTACCATCTTGAACCAACAGGTAAACTTGACCTGTAGCATCCAAAGATGACCATCAATTTTGCTCTAATAGGTTTAGTTCATCTTTTTAACTTGTTCTGATATTCTATAGAGCACAAATTAAGTTATCAGAGGTAAGCTTTTGTGATGGCATTGTGTGTCTGTTGTTATCCACAATTTCTTAAAACAACATCTCCTTGGATATGAATTATAAATTTAATGTTTAGATTTATTAAAAGTACTTGGCTACTGTCTAGATTGAAGTCTTGTTTAGGCAGTTCCCTTAATTTTTTTTTTACTATAAATAATGTGAGGAGAAAAAGATAATTTGTAAAATTGGACTTGAAGTGTTTTTGAAGAGATATTAAAATAAGATAAATGTGAAGTTTACAGAATAATTTCATGTCTACTGGAGAGATATTGATTTGAATATTACCCCCATGTCCTCTGTCAATGACAGGAAAGTAGGTTAGACTTGTGTTTGTTAGCAGAAAAACTTGCAAAAAATGAAGATTTTTGGCACTGTGAATGATATACCACAGACAGATCCATTGTTTATTATGAGAACACAAGACAGTTTTGTTACCTACTTTCTTGGAATAACAATCAAAGCACACTTAAAAATTAACTGATATAATAGTCTTAGCTTTCCCCCTGCAGTGCAAGGTACAGAAAAACATTAGAAGGATAGTAAAAATTCCCATTTCATAAACAATTTCACACAAAGATGATTTATTTATTATAATATAATTATATTTATATATATCTGATGAGATTCCCAGTTTTCCTTGTAAATGTAATTCAAGAAGTAGGAAAAGTAAAACTATTTTATATGTTAATTAAGTGAAGCCATTTAACTTATTTATCATTTGCATAATGATGCTTGCTTTTATTTTTTCAGTTTTATACTAACTACTTGCACATTTTTATATATATTTATTCTTGAACTTATTACATACTAACTTTAACATACGTATAATACTTACTTAGATGTTTTTTTCCTTATCTTACAGTCTATGATAAAAATTGAAATAATCCCAATATCAGAATCTTCTTTTGGGATTGAGTTTTTCGTTTTTATTATACTTTGCTACGGGTTTATGTTTTATAAACAAATTTTAGTCATTATACCATTACTAAAATTACAAGTAGCCTGAAATAACATAACTTAATTGACTTAATGGAGTCATTGTTGTTTTTAGAATAATGAGAATTATAAATATGATTGCTTAATGTTGATTTATTAAAGCATTTCCGTCCAACAAATGAAATAACAAAAAAGGGAAGTAACATGTATAAAGTTCTAAACAAACGTAAGATTTTTGCTTCAGTCTATTTCCTGAAAATATGGAAAAGAAAATAAACCTTTGCCTGCGGTGTAAAAGAGCCAGGTCTAAGTCACGATATTAAAGCCCCTTAAGATAGCAATTGTCTCCAGCTTCATGCTGATTTTCATAAAAATTTTGAAAATGTTTTCAAAGTAAAATATTTTGAAGTGAACAAAGGAAGTAATTTACACATAGAAAACAACACTTACAATCCATGTAAATTAACAGAATGAGGTCAAAATATGCAAAAACCTGCTCAAACTAAAAGTGGTAAGCTTTTGGCACCAATGTAGAGCCAATCACTTAGAGTGTGAGACTTGTAATCTCTACATTGTGGGTTTGATTCCTGGGCTGGCTAACAGAAATTACTAAGTCTTTCAGGTGAGACTTTAAATTGAGGCCCCATGTATGATTGGTTAAACACTTGGCAGGTTAAAGGACTAGAAGAAGCTTCTAGAATTTGGGCATATTTCTGTATCTGTATCTTGCACTATCCTCCAAAAATCTAAAATGACTAAAACTCTTCTGGAGGCCTCGCCCATATGGGCAACTGGTGGCAAGTATAAAAAAACTCAAATACACACATAAGTAGAGTCAGGCTCACCTGCATGTCTATGATTAACATGTCCATTAAGAATTAGCAAGTTTTGATTTTAAGAATGCATAATTTCCCCTTTCTTTATACACTGTATAATATTTTACCTATTTTTCATGTTCACCATTGTTTTGTTTATTACATTGCTTTTAAAGTTTTCTAAAATATTATCAAGAATGTTAAGTTTATAATTTTATCATCACACACAGCATGTTGTTTTATGATTTAATTGAATACATACAAGTGTTGTTAGTGTCCTTAATTATAACACATATAAATTATGTTAGCAGGTATACACATTTCAAAATTTTATGACATCGTATTGTTGCTGTATAGAATTCTAGCACTTTTCATATTCTTTCATATATCTTGTAGAGAATATCTTCCATTATGGATACAGTTCAGAAAGATCAAAGTGTCAACTAGCCAGCTGATACAGGCTTTAGTTACAGGTATTTTCTGGAGACTCCTTTAACATGCAAGTGTCTAGCAGGCACAGGAGCCTCACAATAAGCAAGTTGGCATCATATTTGGTTTTACAGTATGCTATATTGTTATATTTTGTATTTTCAGGAAAGCAATGAGAGCTTATGAGGAAAGTTGGGACAGGAGACTAGGACTCATGTGTTGTTGTGTGGAAAGAAAAGGCAGAAATAAGGTACTTATACAAATGTGCCAAAATGACTCATCTGTCATTCCTAATGCAAGATAAAATTCTTAACATTTGTAAAACAAATAGAAACGCCAGTCAGATATCCCTTTCTGTCTGTCCCACGGCTTGTCGACTGACAAAACAGTGGACTTTGGGGCATCCATTTCCTATGGACTAATTCTAGAACCATGTTGACTCCCAACTGAATGGCAAGCTGTCAAAACCTTGTGTTTATCTTCACAATTGAAGCTTGAGTAAAGGTCAATTTTTGCCTTCAAGGGTTACTTTGAATATTGGTCAAGGCTGCAGATGAATAATTAGCAATCCAATACCTGACTGTATCTAGTCACAGGAGACAAATGAAGTAACTCTATATCTAATATTGGTGTCTTAATTGTTTAACTATAATTATGATGGGCTATCTAATCTATAATATTGAGCCATGCCATGACAAAACCAACATAATGGGTTTGCGACCAGCATGGATCCAGACCAGGATCCATGCTGTTCGCTTACATACTCTATAACAAGTAGAGAAACTGATAGCAAACAGCATGGATCCTGATCAGACTGCGGGGATGCGCAGGCTGGTCTGGATCCATGCTGGTCGCAAACCCATTATGTTGGTTTTGTCATGGCACGGCTCAATTATGTGCTAGTCTGACTCAATACTACATCAATACTCTAGGGATATTTACCTTCTATTACATCCACAATTCAATTACTGGTTCCTAAACTAATTTTCGCAGCTACCATTCAGTTTTGTTTGAACATTATTTATTTAAGCTTGATTGTGAACAAAGCTTTCAGATTATATGAACCATTTTGAACCAAAACAGGTTTCTTATGAGGAAAGATGGTCTTGACTCAGGAGGACAAAAACTTGTGACCATAAGGTAGAAAAACAGGCATCCTAGCCACTATAATTGTTAAAAAAATCTCTGAATGATTGATAAATTAGATTCTGTATGATTGGTAAAATATTCAGAATAATTGGTAAAAAAATCTTGAAATGAATAATTGGTAAACATATCTATAATATTGGGGAAAATATCTCTGACTGACTATAGGTTTAGAGGCAGACACCTTAACCAATAGGGTACTACTTAATGTCTCTGAATAACTGGTAAAAAAATCTCAGACAGATTGACAGAAAAATCAATGAATGGTAAAAAAAAACAGGGAAAAAATAAAATGATTGGTAAAAATTCTCTGAATGTTTGGTGAAAAAATAATCTCTGAATGATTAGGAAAAGAATCTCCAAATGTTTGGTTAAAAGAAATTTTCTGAATAATTGGTAAAAAAATCTCTGAATGGTTGGTAGAGAAAACCCCAATCTGAATGACTGTTAAAAAAAACCCCAAAAAAACCAAAACAATATGAATGACTGTTAAAAAAAACAACAAAAAAACAATATAAATGACTGTTAAGAAAAATTTAAATGGCTGAGTATAGAAATCTTTGAATGTTCTAAGAAAATCAGGATAATTATTCCATAATATTATCAATAAGGCAACACTTAAACATGCATGCAGATGGTATAGCTGCTGTAATTTGTGAAATGTGTGCATACTACATCATTAAATCATTGTTACATGTCAGTTTTAGTTGAGTTTTCCAGGAGAAACAAATTGATGTATAAGGAACATTGATTAAAAAAGAAATCTCAAGATTATAATGAAAATTTTACTATAAATATACAATACTGCAACAACTTGAAGATTGAACTTGCTGGTCTAATTTGTTGTGATTTTTTTTTTTATTTAAAGTATATACAAAAAGATCTTGGAAGCAGAGCGGTAATATAAAAGAAGTCCTTGAATTTTCATTTAACTCTGAATCTGCTGATTAGCCTTTGCTACCATTATAGAGCCATATCTGTGTGTATTTTGATATTGAGAAACTTTAAAGTTTAGATTGTCTGTTCCAAATTCAAAGTTAAAATCTCTTAAAGATGTTCAACAGTAAGAATTGCCAGCACAAGTTATGATTCTAACAACTATCAGAAAGAAAAAAATATATTAAAGAAATAATTGAATAATGTAAGAACCAATGAAGTAATTAGGGCAATCACAATTAAAGGTAAAATTTAAAAGAAAAAACAATACAATCATAGAAATTACCCTTACCAATGCTTCATTTATAACTTAAATTTTAATCAATCAGGGTAAGTTGTAAATTTTAAGTATCAATAATGATGTTTTTAGCGTTTTTTTCCTATGTTAGGTAATGCTAAATTGGTATGTGCTTTCAAGTTTATGTCTGTTTTGACAGCTAAAATTGTACTTGATGTGTTTCATCCATTAGAGAATGCTGTAAACACTCAATGTTTTACTTGATTATTGTCATAAAAATCATTATATGGCTCGAAAATTACTACCGATGGAAGAAAAAAATGATTAAGTTTATGTAATGTGGAGTCTGCACTTTTATGATAAGATTTTAAAAGGGACATTAAGATGAAAGCATTATAACATGACTTGTGTTGTGAAACATAATGTTCACTATCAGTGTGTTAGTTATAGAGTCGAGACAAGAATCTGAGAATAAGGTGAACACTGAAGTACATCATAATTCAAGCTCAATACTTGTTTTGGCAGGTGCCTGCTTATAAAAATACAATTATAATTTCATGAAAATTTTAATGTCTTTTTGCTCTAAAAGATTTCCAAGATTCAGTACTAGTAATAGTATTTTCTGCAAAGTCACACAAGAATGAAAATTTAAAAGAATGATGGTTTTATGTACTAAATAATTGTAATAGACACCACTCTGTCGACACACACATGGGAATAGTAGGGACCTTGGCTTTTGGATTATCATATCCCAGAAATGCTCTCACATGGTAAAATCCCTACTGCTAAATGCCCTAGCTTTGCAAGTTTGAAATAACACCTGCTATTATGACACTAAAACACAATTAAAGCATTAAGCTAGCACTGCAGAGACAGATGAATGTTGTAAGCTTGGCTCAATCACCCTTCCATCCGAAAGTGAAGCTTTGAGTAACAATTTACTTTTGCAATTGCCGATTTATTTGGTTGTCCGAGATGTATTCTTTGTTCAAACAGTATTGTTAAATTACATCATTATATACTAACAAATTAGCTTACAAGGATCCATTTTATGTCCTGTTGTAGAATCAATTTTTCCTATCTAGTTTTAATTCATATAAATACAAATATTTGTATAAAAGTTTAGTCATAGTATTGATAAATCAACCATCTTAACAACATTTATAACTTGGTGATGACAGCAGTATAGATCCAACTTTCACTTCTATCTTAATACTGTTAAATTTAAAAAAACAACATTTTGATCTTATAATATCAAACAATCTCCTAAATAAGAAACTGGATCCATTCTAAATATGGAAAATTATCTAGAAAATGAGTGAAAAAGGGCAATAAGACAATATCAAGTAAAAGTGATCAGACTTTTACGGTGAACATTTTATACTGGTTAAAATATTTTCAAATGATTTTGTTTTTCAGTAGAGAATAGTGTGTCTCTTTAGGGATGATTATATTAGGAATTGATCTGTAGAAAATACCTCATTTAGAACAGTTTTCAGACAGTATTTCTCCCAGAAGGAGCCAATTTCTTTTGTTTTCAGTGATTATACATGCATCTGTGTCCTGAAATCACAACAATGTCTGCTAATAATTGAAAGTTGGCCACAAGTGGGTACACACTATGTTCATATTACAAAATAAAAACTAAAAGAAAAAAAGAAAAAGAAAAAAATACATCAGTGAAATCAATCTTTATCCTATAAGCTTTAGACCTAGAAATAGGATGGTACAAAAATGTCAAAATACTAAGAATGTACGCACATTGAATATTTCTACAAGTTCCTAAATTGAGTTGAGTATACATTTGAATTTATTTGCCATTCTAGTTTTAACATTAATTGATTAAACTTAGCATAAGTAAACCTACTTTGACAAATTTATACCATTATTGTTGATAAACCTTGGGAGTATCTCTTTTTCTGAAATTTCAGAATTCCATGTCGGAGATTGCCCAGTTGTTCACCGAGTTTTTCCGAGACCTGGATGTTGTTCCCTCGGATGTTATAGCTGGACTGGTTCTACTTAGAAGATGTCAAAAACTGAGGATGGAGCATACTATAAGTCAGGTAAGGGGAACCATGGTAACAGTGTTTCTTTTGACGTTAGGCTTTAATTCTTAACCTGCTGGAACCAAAAGTGATAGATGTTTGTCAGCAGTATAGAGCCAGGCCAGCCTGTATGTGCATGCAGTGTAACCAGACTCTATGGACTACTGTTGGCTGGTTTATTCCAGATTTTTATCTTGATACCCCAAAAATTGATAATGGACAGTTCCAAAAATTGGAAGCCGAAGAATTAATTGTATTTAAGAAATTCAACAGTTAATGGGAAAGTAAGGAGCAAACTTTAGGTCATACTAATTTACAGTAAAACTTAAACATGCCTTTGCAATGGGAAAAAGTTTTCATGGATGACAGATTGTCTGCCATTATCAATAGTCTGCACTCCAGTTGTTTCAATAGATAAATTAAGTTATTGTCATTGAAGAATTAAGTAGGAGTCAGTAATATGGTTTTTGTGCATACATTTGATGACAATGTGTTGACATGTTGTTAGAGATGGCCTTTATACCTTAATATTACAATATTATTGAAGAAAGAGAGGGGGTTTTCAGAAAAGCTTTTTAAGCTTCCTACCTAATCCATTAAATTCATTTCTTATGTAAATGAAAAGATAACAAATAAAATGCTGTTTAAACTAAAGTTTGATTTAAATATTTCAATGTTTTATTACTACAATCATGTATCTCTGATTCAGTAAAGGCAAATAAAATATTGAAATTGATAAGAATAATAAATTTTACAATCTATGACTTTAGGGTATTAAAGAACATGCTTTTTTACCTACTACATTTTGAGAAAATCTGCATTATATGAAAAAGATTTTATTGAATTTGGTAAAATCTAATGCATATGAAACAAAGTAATATAAGACTGGAATTAAGAAAGGCAATGCTTGCTTTGACCTTGAGGCTAGGTATTTAATTTCTTTAAGTTAAATGTCCCCAGGTCAAATTGTCTTAAGTTTGTGGCTAAGTATTTTTATTTAAGAGAAATATGCCCTCAGGTCAAGTTGACTAATATACATGATTGATTCAACTTTAATGCAGCTAAAAGATTGTCCACTTATCTGTCATTACAATTGTCTAGAAGAAACAAAACAAGTTAATAAATATGATCAATACTTGGTCTATTCTAGCATTGAAATCAATGTCATTAAGGCATATGTATGGGTCAGTCTCTGTCCTGTCTTGTGTTCATTCAATTACTTTATCATTTAAGGCTATTTAGTATTGACAAGTCACTTCTTGCAGGCATTCTTTGTCTTCCTATACTCGTCATTTTACTCCCACGAGGGACTGTATTCACCAATCACTGTCTGTCTTATTTCCCACCATATGTCTCTATTGTCAATCTCATGTCCAGTCACTCTGCTGCAGAATAAGTAAATATATTTGACTAAATCAAGACTTCAGATTTTGTGTTGTCATTTATTTTACTATCTAAGAATGCAAACATAATATTGTGCCATGTTTTTATCAAACATTGTGCCTTAACATTTTATAGGAAGCATAATGATTTTTATTTTTGCTATATTTTCTGTTTATGTTTTGTATCATGTGTTTTATTCAAATCTTCAAAAATTGATCCAGGTTGATTATGACATTAATGTGCTGCCTCAGATATGAAAATTTATAGAAATAGATTGAAACTGTATGAAAGATATTTAAATAAAATTTTGTTGTAAAATTATTCTCAATCTAGAAACAATTCTCTTGGTAACCATCAATCCAACATTGAATTTTATTTTCCATGGCACCTCAAAAAATACATTGTCATGTTTCATTACAATTCATTGTAATTCTTTTCTATAAAATGTCAAGAAATAGTTGGAAAAGTTATAAATAAATCTTGTGCAAAATGGAAATATTACTTATCAAAATTTAGCGTTCATGTTTTTATGAAACATGTCCCAGGCTCATATTTGCGTGACTGAATTACTGCAATTTCTGCTTAAAAGAGAGAGATTCCAAAATGTCTCAGAATTTTTACATATATTTTACACATGTCAGGATACATGTATTTATTTTCTGAATATATAATAGGACATGCAACATCAGGCATGTAGCTGCAGGCAGTATATGGAATAAAGATCAATTTGGGAGAACCAAGTTCTATTCCCAACAGATCTAGAAATAGATGCAATGCATATTGGCTGATATTAAACTATTCATTTGAATACTAAACAACACTCTGATCTATGTCAGCATTTTGTGAGATTTTTATCAGATGGCAAAATTATTCATTTAGGAGAAAGGTTTCATGATTTTAGGCAAGCAATGGTCCAAAGTATTACACTGATATTTTGTCTCAAAATCATCCCTAAGTTGTATCTTTTACCAATAGAATTTAATATATCAACAAAGGCTTTTATTTTTAAAATATAGGTTCCTATTATAAGCAAGTGTTGCTTTTATAATGAATTTGATTGTATTTAGTTTTTTTTTTTTTTTTTTTTTTAAACAAACTTTGTAATTTGCCCATAATACTTACAGCAAACCTTTGGTACAAAATTATCTTGAAATGAAGATACTTCACCTACCTTAGCTAACTTTTCATTTAACAAAGGTGGTTTATATAAAGAGGTTTCAGAACTGTTGTTGTATATTTCAGGAAGGTAATGATGTATACAGGTACCTGTCAGGTGTGGCAGTCACTCCTCGTACACAGTTCCTACAGCTCGGTCAGCCCGAGGTGATGCAGCAATATAAACTGGTCATACATTATATGAAGTTTGCCATGGCAGCCTATGGTTGGCCCATCTTTATGATGATGAATACTGGTACAGGACTTTGCAGGATAGTGCCATATTTAAGGTAATGCTACTTTTGTAAAGGCCAATACAGAAATGTACTGTATCTGAATATATTCATTAGTAAAATATTAGCATAACATATAGGTGATTTTGTCGACTGTGTGCACAAATTGTGTAAAATCTAACACAAAATTGTTAGATTAGTCCAAAATTATCATTGCACATTCTGGACTGATTTTTTCTTTTAGACTTAAAACTTTTAGGAAATAATGGTAAAATGAATATCGGGTATATTACATGACTTTCCTTTTCTAAGCTGTATACTTGAAATCACTATTCCTAGCAACTTCATTACTGACAGATTGTGAAATATTAAGTATTGTGTGGTCATGCATGCATTGAAATTATAAATATTTGATCTAGTTTAACAAAACATGCAATGTTTATGTGAATTTTTTATGCTTCGGATAAAATACAAATTATTTAATTTCTCATTGAAATTTATAACAGACATATAGTAAAAATATTTAGCACATGGATGACATAGGGTTCCATGCTATTAGATATGAGCCCCGCCTTGACAAAACCAACATAATGCATTTGCCACCAGCATGGATCCAGACCAGCCTGTGCATCTGTGCAGTCTGATCAGGATCCATGCTGTTCGCTTACAAACCGTTATTATAACAAGTAGAGAAACTGATAGCGGACAGCATCCTGATAGCGAACAGCATGGATCCTGATCAGACTGTGAGGATGCGCAGTCTGATCTGGATCCATGCTGGTCGCAAACACATTATGTTTGTTTTGTCATGATGTGGCTAATATGGTCCTTTTTACCAGAAATATTAAGGATGATAGATACAATAGAAGCAATAATGGGGTACAGGTGCGAAGCATCATTTGAAATTGATAACAAGCACTTACATCTGGTGCTATCTCTTTAGTTTGATGCACCATTCCCAGTTTACTTTGTATATTCAACATTGGCAAGTTTAATGGATCCTTTCCCTTTCATTTATCTGATAAGTATTATATTTGATTGTAAACAATAAGCTATACCTGTGCTGTAGATGATGAAGATTTATTTAAATTTCTGATGTTTGCAATTCTTGGAGAGCACATTAAGATACTGTCATAAACACCTGTAAAAATCATCCTAATGTGACATCATCTTTCTTGGCATTAAAATAGTGCCAACATGTTCTAATTAGTTCGAAAAAAAAAACAACCTTAAGCACTAAAACATGCTCAAATATCACGAGCAGCGTAATTGTAGTTTGCCTAAAGGAAGAGAAATATATTTGTTCAAGTTCATTTGTCTCCACCAATGTTAAACTGACTGTTAAAACATAAGGGAATCCATTTGGGAAAATCTTATTATTTCTTCACCAAATCCCCTTATGACTGGATTTAAGTAAATTTTATATCTGGTTTGTGAATGTCTGAAGCATTGTATACAAATGAGATAGTTGACTATATCAGAGAAATGTCAGATAATTTCCCCTAGGCCTGTTCTTATATCCTATAATTTACTGGCTTGTCACTTACTGTGTTTGTCATCTAATAATATAGTCTTATCATTAAAGATTGGGTTTTGAAGTGTCTGGAGGATTACCATATGTAGACAAATTCATTAAATGAATGTTTTGTGGTCAAATTGTTTGATCACTGTAAAACTGTATCATTTATGCCATTGGTACTAAGCTAAATTTTTAATTGAATATATTTGATAGGACATGGCCCCCCTTGATGTTTGTCCCTCTTCTTTTGCTGTTTTCTTTATAGAAGGGTTCCTCAAAATAGACTGAACATTGTAAATTAATTATTCAAAGTTTCAATTGTGCTTTTAATTTGATATTAAAATGTAAGGAGTTGTTTTTTGTTTTTAAGATTTTTTTTTCAGAGAAAATTGGAGTTAAATACAGGCTTTATCTTGCTTGATTGGGTAATTATTTACATATAACATTGAGTTTCAATGGTTTTCATAAAGAAAGTTTGTCTCATTGTAAATGCACTAGAGGCATCAACACAATAGCTTTAAACACAGTGATATTGTATATTAGTGCAGAGATTCTAATGCTTTTAACAGGATCGAAAAATACATTACATCTTTTCATAAAAGACATGCATAATGTTAAATTGAACCTGTATTGATATTACATGCTTTAGTGTTCACTTACATTTAAATGTCACTTCTGGATATTGATCAGTATTAAACAATAGATACAAAAATACAAAATGTCCTGACATGAACATTAGCATCACATTTTTTCCGAGTAAATATCCCCTTGTTTAGCATATATCCAATGACCTTGCAGTGTTTACTTGTCACTTAATTTGATTTGTTATCTTTTTGACTAGTAACTATACATATTTAACATTAATTGCTCCTACAGATTTATTATTCAGATTTACTTTTATTTTGCTTTATAGTTCGGTTGCGAATTTAACCAGAACATATATTTTTTAAATTTTGACTGGGAAATACCACTTTACATTTAACAAGTCATGATAACAATATGGCAAACTTTCTGTTAAAGTTGCATTTGTAGAATTATGTTACATTTGTATAAGTGTTGCATTTGTATATATGACAAAAAAGCCTGGACATTCAGTCTTATCTTGTATATGAGACAGAATAAGCCTTTCAGTCTGAACTTGTATATGAGACAGAAATAGCCTTTCAGTCTGAACTTGTGTATGAGACAGAATAAGCCTGGACATTCAGTCTGAACTTGCATTTGAAACAGAATAAGCCTAGACAATCAATCTGAACTTGCATATGAAACAGAATAAGCCTGAACATTCAGTCTGAACTTGCATATGAGACATAATAAGACAAACTTGTTTGTGAGGCAGAATAAGCTTCAACATTCAGTCTGAACTTGAATATGCCACAACATTCAGTTTTAAACTTTCAGCTTAGGTTAATGACTGAGCAAATAAAAATGCTGTTGTATTTTGAAAATGCTAATTGTTAGAGATTAAGAGAGAAAATTATGGAGCTCAGTATAAAACATATATCTGATTGAATGTGACAGATGAAGCCTTCCAGAATACTGTCTCTAGATGATTTGTTTTATAAGCTTTGTTTGTGAAACAAAGAAGATTAAAAGGTTTAAGAGATTTCCTAATGGCTACAGTTTCTAGTTTCCGGGGATTAAAGTGTTTTCCAGTTCTTCCTGATCAATATTTTGTGACAATAGATACAATAATATATAGACTTTTAAAGACTTTTGTTATGCTGAAAACCTAAAGTATATAAAAACATAAAGTAAAAGTAAGATAAGATGGTTTAATATATTATTTTGAAGAAGAAGATGAAATTGGCTTTTTACAACTTGAAACATTTAAGTTTAAAGTGAAACAATTCACGGACCAAATATTGTAAATATCGAAACAGGTAGTTTAAATAAAATACAAGTAACTAACATAAATGTGTTTTTTTGTCATATAGTTTACCACTGCAAGATTCTAGTTGGGTAGTTGGGGATTTAAATATTGGCCATGTAATCTGGGTAAGACAGATAATGAAAGGATCTATAAGCAATAAGGACTAGAGTAAAGCATTATAGCTGATGAAAAAATACAATGAGGCTGTTCATTGAAAATCAGGGAAATTTACTGGAAAGGAAAATTTTCATTTGTTCTTTTGTTCAAAATTGGTATTTGATTACATTTATGTGTAATAATCATTGTAATTTGTTTACCAAGAACATGAGTCCAAGTTATTATACTTTTTTTCATTAAACAGATGAAAATTTAGGAAAGATTTTTTTTGGCTGATGTTTTAAAATTGATTGTTGTATTTATCATTTGCATATTGTTTTTTTTTACATTTTTTGAACATTATACAATTAAGAACATTTCTCATGAATATTTTCACTTCTCTATCATCTTATCTTGAAATCTTTAAAATAACTCCCCTTTGGTACACTTTACAATGACTGAGACTTAGTTGATGTCATTACTCCTTGTAATTACTGGTCTAGGTACAGCAGGTACTTTATTAATTGTTTCATTAGAGGAGCCCTATAGAGTCCACAAGTACTGTCATGCACTTTTACTTTTAAAAATAAGAAGGGTATAAGATGCTGGTAGGAAGTAATTTTCTAGAGTAAAACCATTGTAATATATCATCATAATGATTCTTTTATCTGTCACCAGGGAATCTGTGTAAATATTGCCTGTCATGAACTTTTTCATAAATGATGAAAAATGTGATTATGTACTCAATTCTATATTGATTCACTCTATGAGCTTGTTATTACAGATTGTATTGCCATTTGCTGTCTTTTAGTATTATCAATAGAAGTTTTCATGTAGTTCTAAGTACGCCTTAAATACTTTATACTTTGATTATATTGCCTTTTACAGTCTTCTAGTTTTCCTAATAAATGTTCATGCAGTTTTCAATCCCTACATGCTGAAATGTCCTTAATGGACTTGTCCATCTCTCACTCTTCATAAAACCATTAATTATTGCAGGGAAATTTTCAAAATAATAGACTTAATAGCAAACGGTGGAATCTGTGATCATGGTGATCTTGGTCTGCACTCAGATCTTATTGGTAATATATTTGCGGCCACCCAACAGGCTTAAGGTTAAATAGGCCTCAAATACCTTGATTGATTACTTACCTTTCAGTTTTCCCAATAATTATTCCTTTAGTTCTAAAAGGGATCAAATAGTTAATATGAAAATGCAATTCAGTGAACATTGTTTTAATTGTTTTATTTCTGTTTTTAAAGAATGTCATTCAACTTTATGTGAATTATTTAGCACAATTCCTTGTAATGACATAAGATGGACGTGCCTGGAATAATTATGTCAATACCTCCTCCTCATGTCTGTTTTTATGATACCTAAACTGTGGGTTTTCTCATATAAAATTTTGATGGGGTTGAGAAATTGTATTTTATTTAGTGATAAAAGTGTTTAAAGGGTATTTGCCCCAAAATTCTTGTAGTCCTAAAAGGAATTTTTTTTGAATCCCCTTTTTTGGGGCCAGGGGAAATTTTTTTGATTTTCCAAACTGAAATTTGGTTTTTTCCTTCATCTAAATATTTTTTCTTTGGGACAAA